TACATAGGAACACCTGCTTAGCATGATAGCAGATGTCAGTCAGTAAGCAGAACACAAAAGGAAAAAAAAATATCAACAACAGCAAACTCGAACCATTTTGATTTGGTGCAAGGAAATCTTTTCAGGACTGATGGCAACAGTGGACATTCCTTCTGAAACACAAACAGAGGCTCTGAAATTCCCAAGTCTTGTTTGTGGTTAACACGTTGTCAGAGAGAAAGGCCATTTTTGCCTCTTGTTGCTTTCTGGTATTCACTCTGACTCTCTTTATTATTTGGGGGAATTATTAAAATTACCCTGCCTCAGTCTCCTGATCAGTAAGCAGACAATGGGTTGGGATATTCTAACTACAAACCCAGTTCCCTGAAAGTGATGATAATTAGAGGCAATGCAATGGTAAGAGCATGATTCTCCCCAGACCTAGTTCAAATCCCACCACTGTCACTTAGTGGTTGCCTGACATCAGTCAAGTTATTTAACTTTGCTAAGCCACAGTTTCCTGATTTGTCACATCTGCTGAGAAAATTAAATGAGATAATGTATACAAATGCCTGCCACATAATAATGATACAACAAATGGTAGCTATAATATTATTATTAATATCACCACTGTCATTTTCATTATTATTTGGATCCTTACAGAACCTTTCCTAGTCAACATATTATTTATTAAAAGTCTGGAATGACTACCAACAGAAATCATGATAAAAGGTGGTATTTTTGATGTGTAGAGTTCTATCACGTTATTACAATGATACTTACTACTAACACTATTATTTTATAGTTAGAGATTCTGACATCATTTCTACTATGTTTTCTGGGATTTATATCCGAGCCACAAAGAAAGTTTTCTGGGCTGTACCCAGCCTAAAAAGAGCCCCAATGAAAGTGAAGTGCTTTCTACGACTCTGACACAATAAAACGAAGCTATGGAAAGGAAAAAATGACAAGTTCATCATCTTCCCATGTCCACCCCGCCCTTACACCTTTCACACTCATTTTTTAAGGGCTTTTCGGACTACACTGGTATTTCCCGTTCTCATTCTTTTCCCAAAATGGTTAAAATTCAAAATGGAAAACAGTTATCACACATGGGCAATGACTAATTTTCCTAAGGAATTTTAGTATTCGGAACGTGTCTGCTTGTGCAGGCCTGTGCGGTAAAGGCTCCCTGAGTATGCATTGACTTGATACCCAATAATGGCTGCTAAGGAGCCGTTATGTAGTGCCGTGTCAATGATCCGTGCACTGAGGACTCCCCGAGTACGCATTGACACGATAGACCGGAACGGCTCAGAAGAAGCTGTTATGGTCTATCATGCCAATGATGTGCAGATATTGGCAGGGCCTCTGGCCCTTCTGTGGAAATTATGGAGTCTCTGAAGGAGCTGGGGTGGGCGCCATCGTTGAGCCTAGCAGCAGCTCCATTTTCCCTTTGCCTTGGGTTTACTTCAGAAGAGTCAGCTCCGAAAAGTTTTCCAATAACTTCAGTAGTCCCAGTGTTACACCACCAAAACATGAGCAAAAGTGAAAGATATTCTTGCCACTTTGCTTCTCGTTTCTTCTCAGAGAGAGAGAGAGAAAAACAACAACAACAACAAAAACTAATGCTGTTAATGGAAAAAGGGGCACAAAAGTGAAGGTAACATTTTGTCACGTTTTTGTAAGTTTCAGATTATAAATATATCTTCTCTGCTTTAGGAATTTTATCGTGTGCATATAGATGGTGCTGGGCAGGCTTTTTGTTGTGGTGATGGTGATTTTCAGAGATTGAAACATTAAATGCATGCAAAGAAAACTACCTTCTTTATATGTCCTCAGCAGTTAAATAGGTACTCAGAACTCAGTATATAGGAAATGGTTCAAAAAACCTTGGGAAGAGAAGTGCAAGTTCAAGAATAAAGTTTGGATTCACACATGCTTTACCAACTTAAGGCAGTAATTAATTCACTTATGGTATTTACATGCCCCTCTTCAGATACTTATGGAGAACATGGGAATTTTAAATTCACAATTCAGTGCAAGATTTAAAATGATCTTCATTAGAATTTGAAGCTATACTCTAAACTGCTTTATATACTACCAACAGGGAGCCTCATTATGTAGTACTATATTTGGACTACCTTCTTTACATTTTGTAGCTGTAGATTTTGAATGTATTTCTGGTATGCTTAAGCAGAATCAAACAAAGTGTTTTAATCAACTCTATTAACTAACCAATCCACACAGTTGCGTGGCAAACGTATAGTCAAGAGACCTTGTGCTTCTTCTTTTCTGATGTCTTCAAAGGATCAGGGGAGAAGAGAGATTTGAAATACCCAAGCACAGAATGGTGGCAAAGGATCGCAGAAATACCAAAGTGCTTCACTAAAAAAGATGATGGGAACAAAGAAACAGTCAGATTAAGCAGAAAATAGCTAAAATGATTGTGATTCTAAGTACAGAAGGTACTTCTGCATGCTCATTTCCCTGAGTAGAAAATAGTCCAATTTTCATAATGAAATTTGGAACAGGGGTAAGATATCTACCCATGGTATGTATTAAATGTTGATTGACTTGTTGACGGGCAGAAGGAGCTCACTAAAAGCCAACCCAAAGTGAATGTTCAAGTGACAAAGAAGAGTGGAGGGAGGGAAAGAACACTAAACACCTACTAAGTGCTTTTGGCACTTCATCTATTACCAGTATTTCTTCACAACTGCCCTGCAACATGAGAATTATTATGAGAAGCAGAGATGCAGTCAGGTTGAACAACTTGCTACAGGTCTTATGCTGGTATGAAAGTAGAAACCAAATTTAAGCCCAGATGTCCAAAGCCTACACTCTTTTGAGCACCCACACTGCCTCTCTGCCTCCCTGACTCCCAAGTCTCAAAGGTGTCACTGGGAAAGGCAGAAAGCCAGTTGATTTAAATACAAACTTAAAAAAAAAAAACCCACCCAAGTATTCAAAATAACATAGCTGTCACAAAGTGAATTTCAGGAAATTGTTAATATGGTGGTAGGGAATCTAACATAAAGTTACCTAAAGCTTTTTTTTCTAGATATGATAATGTATACTAAATCTTTAATATCCCTGCTGCATTCAGTATAGCTTTCCTTTAACAAAAAAAATTTGTATGTCATGGCCTGAGCTGAGATGGGCAAGACTGCCCTCAATGCATTTACACATTTGTGGGGAGACAAATAGGAATCAGATTAGGTGCTGTGACAAAAGTCATCTCAGGATATATTCCTTCAGGATTTTTGTTTTTGGGAGTAATGCTGTTTCTATAAGAAAAAGTACCATGTATATTGCCTGGAAATGTAGAGGTAGAATAGCATGCCAATCACTATGATTATTTCTTTTCTTTCCTTTTTTTGACATGGAGTCTCGCTCTGTTGCCCAGGCTGGAGTGCAATGGCATGATTTTAGCTCACTGCAACCTCTGTCTCCCAGGTTCAAGCAATCCCCCTGTTTCAGCCCCCACCTCAACCACCCCAGAAGCTGGGATTACAGGCATGCGCCATGATGCCCAGCTACTTTTTATATTTTTTTAGTAGAGACAGGGTTTCGCCATGGTGGCCAGGCTGATCTCAAACTCCTAACCTCCGGTGATCCACCCTGTTGGGCCTCCCAAAGTGTTGGGATTACAGGTGTTATCCACTGTGCCCGGGCCGACTATTTCCTTTTTCTTCCTTTCTTAAGTACTCCCCACCAAAGAGTCAA